AATCATGGCAGTTGAACAGACTCTTTATGTGATTCTGACACATTAAGAATCACTGCTCCAGCATAGGCTCTCGGTACCCAGTGTGGTTCATGGACCAGCAGCATGAGCATCCCCTGGGAGCCTGTTGGAACTAAAGAGGGTTAGACTCCACTCCAGATCTATTTTATTCGTATTTGCACTTGAGCAAGATTTACGGGTGATCTGCATGCACTTCACATTTGTGAAGCACTGCTCCAGACAGATTGTGTCTTGGAGGGCCCTGAGCAGCCAGGGCCATTCTATGACTCCTTCCATCTCCGTCATCAAATTACTGAAGCATGCCTATGGCTGCTCCCATCCTCCTCCCTGTGGCCAGGAGCTGAGCCTGCTCTGCAAGAAATCCTGGTGCTCTCCAAGTTTGCAGAATGCCCCTTCATAATAGTACCACACGGAGGGAAGACTGAGGGTGGTGCCACTTGAAACATAACTCGGTTTGCCAGTAGCCAACAGATTGCTATTAAAATTTTTTGGTAGGAGACTTCCCCCTCCCTCAGATAAAATTAAGTTTGTTTTTGTCTGAAGCAAGGGTAATAAAATTTCCCGTGTAAGTGAGTCAAACAGACTTACAAAATCATGAGCAACAGAGAAAATTTGGGATTTCTCAGGCTGGTATTACTTTGGCATTAGGAAAGGCCAATACAGCCAAAGTGCTTAATAAGATACTGCAATTATTCAGTAATTGTTGGTAAGTAGCTGTGGTCCCCATGCCACACCTGGCTGCCCAGCTCTTCCTCTGGGCTCTTCCTAGACCCCATGAGCCAGAACCCAACAACCCAAGTATTTTTTTCTGACACATTGGGAGCCCGCAGGGTCTTAAATAATATGTTGTAGACACAACGTGGTGGTCACAGGTGGTAAAAGAATTTATCAAGAACCAAAGACCACAAGGATTTAAGAACAAAGGGGAGGTTTAATAGATAGGCTGCTACAGACAACAGTGGCCACACAGATGAGAGGTGCCTGTGTGAGAGCTGGGGAGAGTGTGCAGGGTCCTTTACTGGGGGCAAAGGGGCTGTGAACCCGAGGAATGGAGGGAGGGGCGCATGATCAATTCCTGCACAAGTACCTTGGTTGTAAGATCTGTCAGGAACTGAATAATAGGATTTATGACTTTGATAAGGGCAGGAGGTGAGGCCTGTCAGCCCAGGGCGTTGTGAAACAGGCTGTCTCCTGGGGTGATGAGTACTGTTAGGGTAAACACACAGCAAGAGAGGATGCTTTATCTTGTAGAAATGCAGATTTGCGAAGGGCCCTGAGGGGAGTGGGGGTTAAGGTGTCAACAGGCTCCAGGCGCACCGAGAGCCCAGGGATGCGGGTTTTAGGACTCCAGAGAGCGCCAGCCGGCTCCACATAATATGGTTCGAATCTCTTCTAATTTGTCAGTGCTCCTAACTTACCAGTTGTTACAGTCAGACCTCACTGTCTGCCGATCCTACATTTGTGGGTATGCTTCCAGGCTGATAGTTATTTGTAACCTCACGTCGATACTCATGGCGCTTTTGTAGTCATTGGTAGGCGTGTGAGGAGTGCTGGAAAACACGGCTTGTCAGACACGCACGTTCCCCACTCGTGTCGAACAAAGCCGTGCCCTGCCTTCTTATTTCAACTCTCATGCTATAAACTATCCTTTTCACAGTTTATATGGTGGCTTTTTTTGTTGTTGTTGTTGTTGCTGTTTTTTGGGGGTTTTTTTTGCATTTTTGTGCTTTTTGTTGATGGCTCCACCATTTAGAATGGCCCCCAAGCGCTGAGGTGATGTCGGGGTGCCTAAGTGCAGAGGCTGTGATGTACCTTATAGAGAAAATGCTGTGTAAGGTAGGTTTCCTTCAGGTATGCATTACAGTGCTGTTGGCCACAAATTCAAGGTTAATCAATAATATATATTAAATAAAATGTCTTTAACCAGAAACACATATGAAACAAGGTTCTGTGCTAATTAGGTGACAAAGATGTGATCATCGGCCCCAAGAACCTAAGCCTACATTTCTCCTAGAGGCGGTGGTTCCGGATTCACTAATTCATTACTTGTGGTGAATGTGTTATCCTAAATGGGCAAGGGAAAAGACCCCAGTTCCTTTTTTTTTTCAACTGAAATACAGTCAGTTACAATGGGTCAATTTCTGGTGTACAGCACCATGTCCCAGTCATGCATATACATACATATATTCCTTTTCATATTTTTTTTTCATTAAAAGTTACTCCAGGATATTGAACATAGTTCCCTGTGCTATACAGAAGAAACTTTTTAAAAATCTATTTTTATATATAGTGGCCAACATTTATAAATCTCAAACTCAAGACCCCAGTTCTTGTCATACCTGAAAGATAAGAATTCAGATGGGAGATGAAGTGTTTTGCAGTGAAAGATTTTAAAGGATTTATTAGCAAAGGGATAGTACACCTCCAAGAACTGGAGGCGGGCTGATCCAAGAGCGGATAGCAATGGTCTTTGCCCCTTTTCTCATACCCTCGCTTTAGAGGTGGTCTCTTGATTGATTGACGGCTCTTGCCCCTGGAGTGCTGAGTCATGCTCGTCCCCTTTTGCACCTGTCCTTACCCATGATGCACACAGAAAAACCCATGGGAGGGGCTAAACCACAAAGTTAATTATATTACAATGAGCATTGTGTCATGTCCAGTGAGGTCCTTGTCGCTGCTGCGCGATTGCAGATGTTGGGTTCTAACCAGTTTCTTGCTGGCACTCGTTTAGAGGAAGTAAAGCCACTTTATGCTAAAGGCAGGCATACGGCCATTTTCCAGACCATCCTTCCTCTCCTCCACCAATCTGCCCAGTGCTCCCGCTTCTCCACCTACCTAACAAATGTGTACAACATAACTGCTGTGAACAACGAGAATCAACTGAGTTTAGAGTATCACCCCAGGGGTGTGGCTAGCAAGTGTTTGAATTTAATCCTTTACTCTTGCTAGCTTTGCTGAACATGTAAAAGGTGCCATCATTTTACCTTCCTGCTGGACTGTGAGCTTCAAAGTACTTGCTGGATGGAATGGAGGATGTAGTAGTCACGTGTTGCAGAGGCAGATTCTCTGAAAAGGCGATGTATGTGTTTTCATCTCTGTATTCCCACGGCAGCATGTACTAAATGTTTCCTGCATATAGTTAACTGATTATGAGTCTTAAGGGACAACCCACTGAGCCAGTGATGGAACTGTGAGGAGGGACAGAGTTAGGTCCCTGGCCTAAGGTCCTTGCAAAATTCCTAATTCCTTTATCGACATAGTAGTTGTGACAGGCCGTGGTCCATGCCCTTAGCAGGGCAAAATCATGAGCAATACAGACCCACAAACCATTCCCACTCCATAATCACGGCTATACAGTCAGCTCCCTCTGTATCTGAGGGTTCTGCATCCTTGTATTCAACCAGTCATGAGTTGAAAATACGCAGAAAAAAACTGAGAAAGTTTCAAAAAGAAAACCTGAATTTGCAACTATGTACATAGTATTTACATTATATTTACAATACTTACATAGTATTTGCATTGTATTTACAATTATTTATATAACATTTACACTGAATTAGGTATTACAAGTCATCTAGAGATGACAGAGTATTACGGGAAGACGTGGGTAGGTATATACGCAAGTACTATGCCATTTTAAGTAACAGACTTGAGCACCAGGGGATTTTGGTATCTGTTGAGGGGTCCTGGTGTTAGGTAGTCAGATAACTGGGGGCACCGTGCAGATAGGTGGAGGAGAGAGAGGATGGTCTGAAAGATGGCATTATACCCGCCTCCAGCATAAAGGGACTTTACTTCTTCTAAATGAGTGCCAACAAGAAAGTGGTTAGAACCTGACAGCCACGACTGTGTGGAAGCAGAAACGACTTAAGCAGACACAACCCAATATTCATTGTATTGTAATTAACATTACTATTTAGGGCTTCCCCCCCCCCCCACCATGGGTTTTCCTGTGTGCACCGTAAGTAAAGACATGCACACAAGGGGCCAAACATGACTAAGCATTCCAGGGATAAGAGCTGTCAATTATTTAAAAGACCACTTCTAAGTGAGGGTAAAAGAGAAAGAGGAGACAAAAGCCTCCCCTTTTCCTCCCCTGGCTCAGCCCCCCTCCTGTTCTTGGAGCTGTACTTTCCCTTTTCTAAATAAATCTTTAAAATCGTTCACTACACAACGCACCATCTCCCAACTGTAAACCACCCCCAGACTATAAACTGTCGTATCTTTCGGATATGACAAGAGCTGGGGTCTTCACCTTTTCGGGTTACACCGGAACCACCCCCCTGCAGGTGCTGAGGGATGACTGCATTTGATTTGTTGTGGGAGAAGTTGTGGGGAAACAGAAGAAATGCCTGATTTTTTGCCCCCCCAGGAGACAACATTGAGAAGGAGACATTTAAGCTGATTTTGATGTAGCGAAAGGAGTTCTTTAGGTAGGCAAGAGGGTGAGGTTAACTAGAGGTCTGGGATGTGGGGAGAACACGCAGAAGAGCAAAATTAGCAGCAGCGTGAGTGTGTGTGTGGATGGGGGAGGTGTGTATGGGTTTTGGCAGACAAGGAGGGGACAGAACATTGGGAGTGGGGGGGCAGTAAGTGGACCCCGTGATCAGGGGTTTGGACTATATATACACTGTAGGCCATAGAAGAGCAGCGCAAGATCTGAGCTCAGGAAAGATCATTCCGGCAGCAGTGGGTCAGGTGGATGGGAAGAGGGGGGCTGTGCGCTGCTGTTGGTGCTGGTGATGGACACCCCGCTCACCCTGCCCCTCCAGAGAAATCTCTGTGCCCTGGGGACTCCACAGGGATTCCTACCTGTGGTCTGTTTCTTTGAATTTAACCTTTCCAGACTTCAGTGGGCATACAAATCTCGTTGAAATGCAAATTCTGACTCAGTGGTTCTGAGCAGGGTCCAAGTTTCTGCCATTCTAAAGAGCTCCCCAGTGATTCTCATGCTGCCAGTCCATAGACAAACTTTGAAGAGAAAAGCTCCAAATTGCATGCACACTGGAATAGCCTGGGTTAAACAAAGTAAAACAAACACTGATGTCTGGTGCCACCCCTGAGAATGATTACACAGATGTAGGGTGTGGCCTGGGCAGCGAGAACTTAAAAAGTGTCTCAGGGGAAAGACCAGGGGTTTTTGCTCATTTGTTTAATTTTTAAAATTTGACCAGAGGACACTGGAACCCGGAACCACCAGCCACGCAGGATGGGCAGTGAGTAGAGATTCAGGGGCATGGGAGGGAAGGAGTGATTGCTTCCCCTGGGCTCGTGCTGGCTCTGGGAGGCTGGAGTGGGCTGTAATGGAACGAGACTTCCCTGTTCACTCTACTTCCTGAAACTGTGGTCCCGGGGAGGGTGGGGAGATCCCAAGGCATCCCTAATAATTGGTAGTGGTGGTTTCCCCTGTCAGCTCGATCATTACATAAGAGCAAAGGAGGAGGTTTGAACTGTTTTTCTAGCTTCTTGAGTCTCCTCCTTGACTCTCCTCTCCCTGTCTTCATGGCTTGTTGGGGTCGATACTGACTTTAAATTTCCTCCTTGGGAGGGGCACAAGCTACCTACTCCCACACCCTGTGTTGCAACAACCCTTGTGATTTCACACGTGCTATTTCTTTCCAGTCTTAAAGTGCTAGCCAGCTCAGACCCCCTGGAACAGTGTTGCCCAGAGGTGGTGAAAATGATTGATCCCCCTTGAGTTCTTCCTGCCTTTATAAGAAATGATTTCAATGTGTTAACACACTTGCTCTTATTTCTGGAGGGGAGGAGGCGACTCTTTATTAGGTGAAAGGAATTTCCTTCTATTCTTGATAGAGTTAGGAGTTTTTCTTCTTTTCTCAAAATTCTGAATATTATTGATGTCCATCAAAGGTTCTTTTTAATCCAATGAGATGGTGACATACTTGTTTCGTTAAGTTTATTAAGGTGGAGAATTACATTAAAGGATTTTCTAATGTTAAACCATCTTACATTCCTGGGAAGAATCCATTTTGTTATCTTTTTCACACATGACTGGATTTGCTTTACTAGCATTTTGTTAATCATTTTTTGCAAAAGTAGCATTATATATTTAAAAAAAATTTTTTTTATTGATTTATAATCATTTTACAATGTTGTGTCAAATTTCAGTGTTCAGCACAATTTTTCAGTCATTTATGGACACATACACACTCATTGTCACATTTTTTTCCCTGTGATTTGTCATAACATTTTGTGTATATTTCCCTGTGCTATACAGTGTAATCTTGTTTATCTATTCTACAATTTTGAAATCCCAGTCTATCCCTTCCCACCCTCTACCCCCCTGGTAACCACAAGTCTGTATTCTCTGTCCATGAGTCTATTTCTGTCCTGTATTTATGCTTTGTTTTGTTTGTTTGTTTGTTTTTGTTTTTGTTTTTTAGATTCCTATTTTATTTTTTTCTTATTGAGTCGTATGAGCTGCTTATATATTTTGGAGATCAAGCCTTTGTCGGTTTCACTTGCAAAAATTTTCTCCCATTCCGTAGGTTTTCTTCTTGTTTTATTTCTGGTTTCCTTTGCTGTGCAGAAGCTTGTAAGTTTCATTAGGTCCCATTTGTTTATTCTTGCTTTTATTTCTTCTAGGAGAAAATTTTTGAAATGTATGTCAGATAATGTTTTGCCTATGTTTTCCTCTAGGAGGTTTATTGTATCTTGTCTTATGTTTAAGTCTTTAATCCATTTTGAGTTGATTTTTGTATATGGTGTAAGGGTGTGTTCTAGCTTCATTGTTTTACATGCTGCTGTCCAGTTTTCCCAACACCATTTGCTGAAGAGACTGTCTTTATTCCATTGTATATTCTTGCCTCCTTTGTCGAAGATGAGTTGACCAAAAGTTTGTGGGTTCATTTCTGGGCTCTCTATTCTGTTCCGTTGGTCTATATGTCTGTTTTGGTACCAATACCATGCTGTCTTGATGACTGTAGCTCTATAGTATTGTCTGAAGTCTGGGAGAGTTATTCCTCCAGCCTCTTTCTTTCTCTTCAGTAATGCTTTAGCAATTCTAGGTCTTTGATGGTTCCATATAAATTTTATTATGATTTGTTCTAGTTCTGTGAAATATGTCCTGGGTAATTGGATAGGGATTGCATTAAATCTGTAGATTGCCTTGGGCAGTGTGACCAAGTATTGGGTGAGATTGTCCTGTGGTTTTTCTTACTCGCACTCTGTCAGTTTGGACATCAAAGTTTTGCTAAACTTATTAAATGATTCTCTTTATTTGTTCCCTGAAAGTGTTTGTATAAGACTGGAATTATTTGTTTCTTGGATGTTTGATAAGCTTGATGGTTAAACTGTTAGAGCCTGAGTTTTTGTTTTGTTTTTTTTGTTTTTGGTAGATTTTAAACTGATGACTTAAATTCTGTAAAAGCTGTAGTGTTCACCGATTTCAGTAATATAAATTCTCCAAGTATGGCTGACATCAGGCTATAAAAAGTTAACAATCTCCACACAGAATTCTTTAATACTTGATAATTGGCTTCTGGATTTCAGTGTGAGATGGCTCCAGGGCACTCATTTGAAGGCTAAGTCTTCTGGGATTTTTACTGGAATTGCATTATATTTTTTTCTAGGAGTATATTCATTTCATCTATTTTCAAATTTATTAGTATAAAATTGTTCATAATATCCTCTTGGTATCTTTTAAATCTCTACATCACATTTAACTATGTCTTTTCATTCTTTTTTAATTGAACTATGTCAGTTTACAATGTTGTGTTAATTTCTAGTGTACAGCATAATGTTTCAGTCATACATACACATACATACATTCATTTTCATTAGAAGTTACTACAAGATATTGAATATAGTTCCCTGTGCTATACAGAAGAAACTTGTATATCTATTTTATATATAGTAGTATCTGCAAATCTCGAACTACCAGTTTATCCTTTCCCACCCCCTTTATCCACCTGGTAACCGTAAGTTTGTTTTCTTTGTCTGTGAGTCTGTTTCTATTCTGTAAATAAGTTCACTTGTTTTTTTTTGTTTGTTTGTTTTTCTTTTTCTTTTTTCTTTTTTCTTTTTTTAGATTTCACATATGAGTGATATCATATGGTATTTTTCTTTCTCTTTCTGGCTTACTTCACTTAGAATGCCATTCTCTAGGAGCATCCATGTTGCTGCAAATGGCATTATGCTGTCGGTTTTTATGGCTGAGTAGTATTCCATTGTATAAATATACCACCACTTCTTTATCCAGTCACCTGTTGATGGACATTTAGGCTGTTTCCATGTTTTGGCTATTGTAAATAGTGCTGCTATGAACATTGGGGTGCAGGTATCTTTTCAAATTAGAGTTCCTTCCAGATATATGCCCAGAAGTGGGATTGCTGGAACATAGGGTAAGTCTATTTTTAGTTTTTTCAGGAATCTCCCCACTGTTTTCCATAGTGGCTGCACCAAACTGCATTCCCACCAGCAGTGTAAAAGGGTTCCCTTTTCTCCACACCCTCTCCAGCATTTGTCATTTGTGGACTTTTGAATGACGGCCATTCTGACTGGTGTGAGGTGATACCTCATTGTAGTTTTGATTTGCATTTCTCTGATACTTAGTGATATTGAACATTTTTTCATGTGCTTTTTGATCATTTGTATGTCTTCCTTGGAGAATTGCTTGTTTAGGTATTCTGCCCATTTTTGGATTGGGTTGTTTGTTTTTTTCTTATTGAGTCGTATGAGCTGTTTATATATTCTGGAAATTAAGCCTTTGTCAGTTGCATCTTTTGTAAATATTTTATCCCATTCCATAGGTTGTAGTTTTGTTTGGCTTATGTTTTCCTTTGCTGTGCAAAAGCTTATAAATTTAAATAGGTCCCCTTTGTTAATTTTTGGTTTTATTTCTATTGCCTGGGTAGACTGCTCTAGGAGAACATTGCTACGATTTATGTCAGATAATGTTTTGCCTATGTTTTCTTCTAGGAGATTTATAGTGTCTTGTCTTATATGTAAGTCTTTAAGCCATTTTAAGTTAATTTTTGAGTATACTGTGAGAGAGTGTTCAAACTTCATTGATTTACACGCTGCTGTCCAGTTTTCCCAACACCGTTTGTTGAAGAGACCATCTTTTCTCCATTGTCTAGTCTTGCCTCCTTTGTCAAAGATTAATTGGCCAGAAGTCTGTGGGTTTATTTCTGGGCTCTCTATTCTGTTCCATTGTCCATATGTCTGGTTTTGTGTGAGGGGAAGGTGCTGTGCTTACAGACCCCCTGATGAGACCTGTAGCCTTGGGAGACGGGCTGCCCAAGGAGAGCTATGGCCTCTGCCAAAATCTTGGCTCAGTAAGGAGGGAGCCGAGAATAAATAACCCGATCTCTCTTCTTGCTCCCTGATGTCTGCCAGTGTCACTCATTGGGTAAACTCAGCGAGAATCTAGCTGAAACGTAGCTGGGATGATGTAGTCCTTAGAGATGAGCCTTGTGGGAGCACAGAATAAGGAAGAGAAAGGCAACCCGATGCATCTAGTGGGACACATAGAAAATCATCAGCATAGATTTAGCTCACTTATTTAAGTCCCTCTGCACCCTCACCCATTTGTTTTGAAGGGGATATGTTTTCCCGTAAGTACTATTTTAGCTCCATCTCATAAATTGTAAAATGAGGTATATTCATTAACGTTCATTGCTAAATATTTTGTAGATTCTGTTAAGTTTTTTTTCTTTACCCTGTAAATTATTTAGATGTATGTTTCTTTACTTCCCAACCATAAGTGTTTTTGGCAGTTATCTTTTAGGGACAGATTTCTAACTTAAACACATTGCAGTCTGAGACTGTGGTTTGCTTGACACCCTTGTTTGACACTTGCTTTCTGGCTTAGTACATAATGTTCTCTGTGAGCTTGAAGTGATGGTGTATTTTGAAGCGTTTGGTTGTAGCAGTCCATGTACTGTCGGCCCTCCGTACCCACGGGTTTTGCATCCATGGATTCAACCAACCTCGAATCAAAAAGATTCCAAAAAACTTTTTTTTTTCAGAAAGTTCCAAAAAGCAAAAGTTGAATTTGCTGCACTCCAGAAACCATTTACGTAGCATTTACATTGTGTTAGGTATTACAAATAATTTAAAGTATGCGATGCATGACTGTTTTATTGTGCTGTACACCAGAGATAGACACGTTGTAATTGACTGTACTTGAGTTAAAAAAAAAAGTATGTGAGAGGGAAAAAAAGTGTATGGGAGGATATGTGTAGGTTATATGCAAATACTGCACCATTTTATATAAGAGACTTGAACATTCATGGGTTTTGGAATGATTGCGGATTCTGAAACCAATTCCTTGCTGATACCAAGTGATGACTGTGTGATGGTTAGTTCCTGTTAAATGAAATGTCTTGTGATTCAAATCTTCTTTGTCTCTACTGATTTTTGTCTTCTTGATCTGTCAATTACTGAGATACATGTATTAAAATCTGTTATTATGAAGGTAGATTTTTTTCTATTTCTCTTTTACTTTCTGTCAACTTTATTATCACATCTGAAAAATATTATATTGGAATAATGGAATTTAGAGTCATTATTTCTTCCTGGAGAATTCAAATTTTTGTAATATGTACTGATCATGTTCATCATGTCTTTTTCTTTTTGTCTGAAAGTCTATTTTGTACACATTGCTCCCTCTGGTGGGAACAGCTTTCCCTTCTTCCGTTCATTTTACCAATTCCTGCTCATCCTTCAAGTCTCAGCTCATCTGTTAGTTCCTCAAGAAAGCTTTCTCAACACCCCAGAGTAGATCAGGCTTCCGTTTATGTGAAGGGTTTAGCCTCTTCTTTGTCTCTTTTTAGCTAGTTCCGTAATTTGTGATTTTACATTTGAGCGACTATTTGATTTCACATCCGGGTCCCTCAGCAGACTGTAAGGTCTATGGTGTCAGGGACCGTGTCTGCCGGTATTCACCACTGTGTCTCCAGCATCTGCAACAGCCTTGGACTCAGCAAGTCCTCACTGAGTGTTTGATGAATAAATAGAGTGAAAGCTGACTGTAAAAGTATTGCATTTGTCTGTTAAGGCTGCTGTAACACAGTACCGCAAACTGGTGGCTCAAGCAGCAGGCATTTATGGTCTCACATCTCTGGAGGCTGGAAGTCCAAGGTCACGGTGTCAGCAGGGCTGGTTCCTTTGAAGGCTGAGGGAAGGTTCTGTTCCAGGCCCCATTGCTCGGCTTGTAGATGATCATCTTCTCTGTGTGTCTCTTCACATGCAGACCTCTGTGTCCCAATTTCTCCATTTTTTTTCAACTTAAAAGAAAAATTGAAGTATAGTCAGTTTACAATGTAGCTTACGGTGGAAAAGAATATGAAAACAGATATATGTATGTTCATGTATGACCGATTTCTCCATTTTATAAGGACATTGGTCACAGGCCCCACCCTAATGACGTCATTTCAACTCTGTAAAGACCCTTTCTCCAAATAAGGTCACATCCTGAAGTATTTGGGATTAGGGTTTCAACATGTGGATTTTGGGGGAACACAATTCAACCCTAACACATGGTTATAGGTTACTTCTTTTACCGGCCCCTGGAGTCGGAGGCTGAAAGGGATGGCACGTTCATGATATATGCGTATATACATAGGGGGATATATATTATATAGATATAATATATATGTATTTATTATAGTATTTTATATTACATTTATATTTATATTATATATAAATATATAATATATATCATATATATTTTATATGATATATATTATTTCTATGCAATGGGGTTATTCTTTTTTATTCAGTGGGGGATATATTTTAAAGGAACAAGAGCAAGGGAGAGACTCAGTGAGCAAGTGGTGGGTCCAGAATATAGACTCTGTCACCAAAAAGGGGTTTGCTTCTTTCTATATCTGGATATTTACTTGTTGCTTTTGTGGGATAAGGACATGGGATTTGTTCGCTTTGAACATGTAGAATTTAAAAATGAAATATTGATCCAGGGAAAGTTTCCCCCAATTTCTTACATAATCTGTGAATAAAAGAGTTCACGATAAAACATGTTTGAGAAAGACTTCAGACTCTTCACATTCTCAGTGTTAAAAGGCGCAGGGACATATTAAAGGCTCAGAGAAGTCTTGGCGTAGTGTGACCCGATTACATTTTTTGAACTCAGTATTTCTTGAAATTGTTTTTACCAAGGAATTCCCCTCATTTTTGCATAATAATTCACCAATGTACTGTAAGACCTGATCAGCTAGGCTTGGGAAATGCAGGCCTGGGTTGCTTCTGTGTGTGGGAGAGAGATGCTATCCCTGGTGCCTTCTTTTGATCTTTCTTCTCCTTAAATAGGGCAATTAGCTCTCTCTCTCTCCCCATTTACATTTCATCAGTGCTTAGTCCTGTCACATTTAGGTTTCGTATGAATGGCAAACGCCCCAGCTGTGTTTTTTTGGCTGCTGTCATAAGAGGAGAAGGGAGTGCTATTCATTGGTGTAACTTTATTTACAGAACGTTTTACAGGAAATTTGTAAAGAAATCTTCCTTCATTCCCCTGCTCTTAGAAACTCAGAGCCCAACCCACAAGATCTTTTCTGGGTCACTAGGCGCCTCAGTGATGATGTGAACAGTAGTCACATGTCTGTTGCGAGTCTCTCTTTGTTAAGATCCCACTTTTAAGAGCATCAGCAGGGTAACATTTCACTCCTGAGCGGGAGGTTGATTTTAAAATGACAAATGAGAGAATAAAATCTGACTGATGTTAATTCCCTTACAGCTAGTGTCACAGGTTTTTTGTGAGAACCGAGAGCAGACTTATGCTAAAGCACCTGCTCCTTCCTGCATCCTCCTACTTGACAGTAAGGAGGCAAACTGCTTGAGGCAACCCCCGGTCAGACAGCTAGAGTCTTCCCAGAGATGGAGAGGCCGAGGTCTTGGTGGGTGCAATCGGGGAGCAAGTGAATCACTGCATGTTGACATCAACCCGTCACTATCTGTGACACAACCAGCCACTGTCATTTTCTTTAAGCAGTACCTGGATATGACTGCTTGAGATTGCCTATGGGATAACATGACAGGTGAAGGCAAAACATGAATTCCCTGACCTTCAGCTTGGGAGCTCAGCTCTCCTTTGTTTTAGGTCCAGAAGTACAGTTCTGACCAGTACATCCCTCCAAGGAAATGAGGATCCTGGGACAGCCGGATTCCAAGGGACCAGCTGAGAATCTGAGGGAAACTCTGTGGCAAATTTGATCCAGGAAACAGATGTGAACTTGTATGAACAGCCCTAAGGGGTTCTCTTGGGACGCATTCTCTCGAGTCCCCTTGGTTTCTGTGATTCTAGGGCCCTTTAGCTTGGAAATGAAGTAATCAGAGCAGTAAGAGCTGCCGTAGAGTGGCTGCTTGCTGTGTGTCAAGCACACCGCCAAGTGCTTTGTTAACATGCACTGTGTCTGTCAAGCTGTTAAATCACCTTATGATGTGGGTTTTGTAATTATTTTGTAGATGTTGAAACAGGATCAGAAAGGCAAAGCCACCTGCTCAAGGTTGCGCACAGGACGCACACCCATTTCTGACACTCGAACCCCTGCTCTGAACACCACGCGTGCTGCCTAACTACATGTGCGCGTGCAGCGTTTTGTGAACAGAAATGCTCTCCCTGTTGCAGAGGAGGAAACCGTGGCACAGGGTTTGAGCGACTTGCTCAAGGTCCCATAGTGGCAAGTGATGGGATCAAGGCTGGGAATCCATGAAGTCTCCAAGTCCAGTTTCTCCCCACCACCATGCTGCTCTTGGAAATCTGCTGTTTTCCGGCCCCTGCTGCCTCTGGAGAGTGTGGTCAGGGCTTGGGGTGGACGTGAAATTGAGTCAGAACCCAACTAATTACTAAGAGTGCATCATAAAGCCTTTAGAATGGAAAATTATTATTTTTGTTGTTTTAAAATAACACCTGAAAACTTCTCATCAACGAAATCTTTAGTTGAAACACAATTATCTCACTGACCTGCTCCTCAGTGTTCCTCGTTGTGATAACAAACTTGATGGAATAAAATTCTAACAAAACTAGAAAGTTGCCTAAAGAAAACCAGTCACTTGCGAAGCCGGAGACTGGATGCAAATGTGAGGTGAGAGAAACAAGGAGGGGAGGGCCGCGGGCAGTGAGGAGGAGAAAGCAAAGAGCTCAAAGCCTCTGAAATGGAGCAGTAGTCTGAATGGTTGCATTAAAAACACTTCTTTGAATTAAACATTAGAGGTTTAAGAGATAAAGACAAAAATAAAAGAAAAATCCGGAGAGACTGCAGCCTGGTCAAGGTGCTCATCTTGCCTTTACCTTTTACTGATACACACTAAAACACAGATGAAATGATACATCTGAGATTTCACTCCGAATAATCCCGAGCTTGGGGTAAATGGAGATGATACAGGAAAATGGATGTGGGGCGTGCGGAGGGCCGTGTCCCAGGTCTTGGCTGGGCTCCTGGGCTGTGCCCCACCAGGTGTGGGTCCTTGGCTTCGTGCAGGAAAGAATTCAAGTGCAAGCCACCATTGAGTAAAGGTAGATTTATTCAGAGGGATACATACCACACAGAGTATAAGGCAAGAGAAAGGCAAGGAAAAAGGTGTGGGAGTTGGGTGCTCAGGTTAAAGTAAGAGTAAGGACACACCCCACAGAGTGTGGGTGGTCTCCGAAGGGGAGGGAGCAGAAAGGCCACTAGGCGTGGTGGTGTCAGTTTTTACGGGCTCAGTAGCTTCACATGCCTACGGGTGGGACCATTCCAACTGCCCTGGGGAAGGGGCTGGCATTCCCAGGAATTGGGCCACCGCCCATTCTTTGGCCTTTTGCGGTTAGCCTTGGGGCTGTCATGGCGCCTGCGGACATGTTTTTTGATCATGCTGTTACAATGAGCATATAATGAAGCTCAAGGTCTACTAGAAGTTAAACCTCTTAATCCTCAAGGCCAACTACGATGTGAATCTTCCACCATTTTGATGAATCTTCTACCATTTTGGTGCTTCAAATTGCTGTCATTCTTTAAGTGGCTGTGCCCTGTCCCCTTCCCTCCTGTCTCAGATGTGGTAGGTAAATAAGGCCACTTGTTGACAATTGTTGACATTGGGCGATGGGTATGTAGGGGTTTATTATAATATCTCTATTTTTGTATGTGTTTAAAAAGTTCCATAGTTAAAAAATCCACAAATGATAAATACTGGAGAGGGTATGGAGAAAAGGGAACCCTCCTACACTGTTGGTGGGAATGCAGTTTGGAGCAGCCACTATGGAAAACAGTTTGGAGAGTCCTGAAAACACTAAAAATAGACTTACTATATGATCCAGCAGTCCCACTCCTGGGCATGTATCTGGAGGGAACTCTAATTCGGAAAGATCCATGCACCCTAATGTTCATAGCAGCGCTATTTACAATAGCCAAGACATGGAAACAATCTAAATGTCTGTTGACAGATGACTGGATAAAGAAGTTGTGGTACATTTATACAATGGGATACTACTCAGCCATAAAAAAATAATAAAATAATGCCATTTGCAACAACATGGATGGACTTAGAGATCGTCATTCTAAGTGAAGTAAGCCAGAAAGAGAAAGAAAAATACCATATGATCTCACTCATAAGCGAAATCTAAAAAAAAGAAAAAAAGAGGACACTAATGAACTCATCTACAAAACAGAAACAGACTCTCAGACACCGTAAACATTCTTATGGCTACTGGGGGAAAGGATAAATTTGAGAGTTTGGGATTTGCAAATGTTAGCCACTATATATAAAAATAGATTTTAAAAAAGCCCAAATTTCTCCTGCAGAACACAGGGAACTATATTCAATATCTTGTAATAACCTATAATGAAAAAAATATGAAAAAGAACATATGTACGTATATGCATGACTGGGACACTGCTGTACACCAGAAATTGACACATTGTAACTGACTGTACTTCAAAAAAAAAAGTTCCATAGTAAGAAGTTTTAAATGTTTAAGAAACTCTGTTTCATCCCAGCCAGCTGGTGCCATCTGTGGGTGATCCACGGGAACTGTCCTTTAGGGGAGGAAAACCCGAAAGGCTAAAAGCAAGCTGCAGAGTGACAACGAAAGAAAACGCTTGCATACTCAGTTACTTCAAAGGGCTAAACAGTGGGTAGCTTATGGATCTGCTCCTAATTTGGGAGTCAGAAGGTTGGAAATAGTACGAAATACAAACTTCCCATATCTAATTTACAGGCACAGAACTTAACTTGAGATCTGGTCTGCTGCTAGTACTCACTAAATGCTCATGAGTAAATGAATGTGTGACTTCCCTTAGACAACACAGCAATTTTTACAGAAATGGAATGGGTCATATTGCAAAATTCATGGGACTGAGGTCCAAAATGTCGATTCAGACACACCAGTTAATTAAAAAGTCATGATTTCTTCATCTGTAGAAACAAATATGCTATTTGCCCTTTTTCTTTTCTTTCTTTCCTTCTCCCCTCCACTCTCTCCTCCCTCCCTCCCTCCTTTCCATCCTTTCTCCCTTCCTTCCTTCTCTTCTTGTTTTGGACAGACCTTAGCAAATCAATAGTTTGGAGGGTCACACAAATTCTACTGTGAATAACTTTTGACATCAGAAAATAAGTTTTTTTCTGAAATTATCTCCACACTGATTTTTCTTAATCTTTCTTAGTTTATTACAAATCTGTAACAGCTATAGTTTTTTGGAGTTTGGTGGCTCAGGTCAGTGTTATATACTTCCCTCTCACTGAATTCTGCCCAAATAGCCTATTTGCAGGGCAAACATCATTTTTAATCAGGAAAGGGGTAGGAAGACAACCATTTAGGTATCTATTTTCCCCTACCTCCTTTTTTTTTAATAAAAAAATTTACTTATATTTATTCTTTGAAGGGAGGTAATCAGGTTTACTTCCTCATTTTCAGAGGAGGTATATGGGGATTGAACCCAGGATCTTGTGTATGTGAAGCATATGCTCTTCTACATGAGCTATACCTCCCCCTTCCTCTTGCCTCTTTACCTTACCTCATTTAACCCTCACAAACTCACTGTTATGTTGATATTTGTATTAGTTTGCTAAGGTGGCCAGAACAAATACCACAAGTTGGATGGCTCAGGCAATAGGAGTTTATTTCCTCCCAGTCCTGGAGGCTGGAAGTCCAAGATCAGGTTGCTTGTGAGTTAGTTTCTTCTGAGGCCTGTCTCCTTGGATTGCAGACTGCTGCCTTCTGGCTGGATCCTCATATGGCTTTTTCTCTTCGTGTGCTTATCTGTGATGTCGCCTCCTCTTTTTATAAAGATCCCGGTCCTGCTGGGTTAGGGCCCACTTCACTGACTTCATCTAACCTTAATTATCTCTTTAAAGGCCCTATATTCAAATACAGTCACATTCTGAGCAACTGAGGGTTAGGACGTCAACACATGAATTTTGGAGGGGGCTATAATTCAGCTCCCAATAGTGTTGTTGTCATTATAATTATTATTCAATTTTTTTTTCTGCCAGTGATGAAGCCAAGACTTGGAGACTTTTGGCATTCTGCCCAAGATCTCATAACACGGAAGTGGTATAGTCTGGATTTGAATCTGGATTGTTTGCATGCTTTTCTCTCTCTCACACTGCTAGTGTCCTGTTTACCCCTTTCCTTGTGTGCACAAATACTTTTCCTGTCTCTGACCTCTTCTTGATGAGCTGGCTACCAGCCCTTCAGCTCACCTACCCTTTGTTGTCTCTGAGAGATAATTCAGGTTAGATGAGGTCAGTGGAGCGGGCCCTAACCCAACAGTGACTTTTGCTGTTTTATTTTAGTACAAAATGGCGGCTTCTTAGCCTACAACTTTAACATTCAATTGTATTTATTTTGGGGATAACTGAAGGTTTTTACTGCTCATTTGTCCAGGGAAATAGACATGTGCTAACCCAAGAGGTACATTTGAGGGGGTGGGTAATAATCTTTTGTCCAGATTTTCCTTCTCTGTTGTCCAGATTATTTTTTCTTAGCTGCCTTTTCAGGAGCCCTGAGCCTCCTGGTTTTCTACTTTTCTCCTCGAGACAAGCTGTCCACCAGTTTCCATCTCCCTCCATCTGCCCTCCCCATCACTCCGTCTTCCTTTGTCCTATTCCTCCAGGAAGATGCCTGAGTTGGTCCTTTACTACGGTTTGAAGGCTCACTTTGAACAGCCCAGCTGTGGTGAATGAGCAGCTGATGCAGGAGTCTGTTGATTTCCAAGTAGTGGTGTACATCCTAGGGGAACCCCAGCACCCACCTCTTTTTCTATTTTCTTCGAATAGGATTTTTTTTGTTCCTTGTCAATAATAATATTAATAATGAAACTTCCCTATTCAAAACTGGGGAGGGAGCGTGCCTGTTTTCCAGTCCTCCCTTCCCGAATCCCATATGAAGGGCTATAAAAAGCTAAGTATAACAGTATCTCGCATTTCGTTTTTCACATACATTCATTTAATCTTCACCGCAAACCTGGGAGGTAGGTAGGAATATCAGTATTTTATTAAACATTTTTTTAATTTAGTTTTTTTAAAGTATAATTAACTTATAGTATTATATTACTTTCAGGTGTGCAGCATAGTGATTTGATGTTTTCATACATGATGGCATACCATTTGTCATCATACAAAATTATTACAATATTATTGACTATATGCTGTATGCTGTATGTTACATCCCCATGACCTATTTTATAACTAGAAGTATGTACCTTTTAATTCCCTTCCCCTATTTTCTCATCCCCCCCATCCCCTTACCCTTTGGCAACTACCAGTTTGTTCTCTGTATCTATAAGTCTATTTCTGTTTTGATATGTTTGTTTTGTTTTTTAGATTTTACATATAAGTTAAATCTTACAGTATTTGTCTGACTGATTTCACTTAGCATAATACCCTTTATGTCTATCCATGATGTTACAAATGGCAAGGTTCTTTTATGGCTGAGTAATATTCCATTATATATATTTATATATATAAGTTCTTCTTTATCCATTCATCTATCAATGGACACTTAGGTTGCTTCCATATCTTGGCTATTGTAAATAATGCTGCAATGA